GAGAGAGAGAGAGAGAGAGAGAGAGAGAGAGAGAGAGAGAGAGAGAGAGAGATCTGAGCGATACAAGATTGGTTTGCTACGCACCTGCGCTGAGATATCACTACAGAGAGAGAGAGTTGAGTGATACGAGATTGGTTGTGCGGTCCAAGAGGAAGTAGCGGCCATAGCCGCAGAGCTCGGACATGGGGTTGACGAAGGAAGGAGAAGTGGAGAAGGAAGGAGAGACAACGAAGTTGAAGACGGACATAGCCGAGGGTAAAAAAAAAAAAAAGGAAAAAAAAAAAAAAAAAAAGGAGAAAGAAGAATGGTGAAGGAGGGGGAAAGAGAAGTGGAGGTTGGCAAGGAAGAAGGTGCCGGCAGCCATAGCCGACTTGGGCGTTGACCAAGGGTTGACCGGGCGTTGACCTGAGGGTTGACCGGAGCATTGACCGGGGTTTGACCACGTTGACCCAGCATTGACCAAGGCGTTGACCGGAGGTGCTGACCACAATTTTGACCAAGCTGGAGTTGGTATAATCTCGCCAAGCCCTCAGCCTATCCCCTCGCCCTATGGATGTGCTCTCACCCTATGGTACTTGCTGAGTCTGAGTCTGTCTGTCTCTTCTTTCTGCATTGAGTCTCTTCTGTCCAGGTGATAGGACTCCATGTATGAAGGATAGGGCCTCATTGACCAAACCCACACGGGCTGCGTAGGGTTAAAGACTGTGTCTGACGACTCGACTGTCCCGGAGGACACAAACCCTCCCAAGGACCGGTACTGACCGGCGGGCTGCTCAGTGTGACACGGTAGGCCCAAAATCCGAGTTGTGAGCTGCACAACGGGCCGTCTAAGTCTTGAGAGGATCTGCTGACCGCGTCGTCCTGTTTGCGACGGTAAAGAATTCCTGAGGAGTTACGGGGGATCTCCTTAAATGCCTCCTGGTCAGCAACATATCCTGTAGTGACGGCTGTAGTATTAGAGTCTAGGCTAGAGACCATAGTTGACAGGGCTCTCTACGAGCCCTGTGGTCCATAGATTGAGTCAGTCTTAAGTTGAGTCAGTTAGGGGGAGAGTCAGTCTTAAGTTGAGTCAGTTAGGGGGAGAGTCTAAGTGGTGAGGAGTGGAACCATCCTGTGGTTGTGCGTCTATCACCATGATTGACACGCGTACCGGAACGAGCACCTCCCCTTACACACCAGAGGAGGAGGCGAAGGCCGCCGCCGTCCTGAAAGAGAGAAGAGAGAAGAAGGAGGCCAAGAAGAAGGCCTCGCTAGAGGAACAGGAGGCCAAACTAAAGAAGATTGAGGAGGAGATGGCCAGAGAGAAGGAGAGGTTAAAGAAACAAGAAGAAGAGAAGCTTAAGGCCATGGAAGAAGAGGAAGAGGTAGAAGAAGAGCCACTGGAAAGGAGAAGAAGGGAGCAAAGAGAGGAATCCAGTGGAACAAGGGATGATCAGTTGGAGAAGAAGATTACAGGGTGGGTGGCTAATCTATCCTTGGGCGAAGAGGAAGAAGCGTTGATGTATGTGCCCAGGGAAGAACAGGGGGCGACGATGAAAGAATGGGATGTCGAAGAGGACCCACTCAAGCGGCAGGCATTGGAGGATGAGACAAGGATGGAGTGGAAGCTAAGGCTCATGAGGGAGAGAAAAAGGAAAATGGAAGCGGTGAGCCAGGCGGCAGAGGAATTGGAAGAAGTAAAGAAGCAGAGAGACCAGATGGCAACGCAGGTAGACTTATTGGGGAAGATGGAAGTCATGGCTAGGAACATCGAGCGTTTGACACAAGCTCAGGAAGAGCAATACCAATTTATTAGAAGTCCGGACATTGCCCTACGCTCAATACGGCTGGGATTTAGGGAGTTTGCAAGGGAATTGGTGATGCAGGTGGGCTCAGAAGTGAAGGCCCGCCTGGAGAACACGGAGCGTTATTGCACCGGCGCCATAGAGGGCGCCAGGTTGGCCGCGCCAAAGGGGGAAGAAGCACGCCCTCGTAGAGAGCCTGTTAAGGTCAAGTTCCCCGACTCCTACAGCGGGAAGGAGGAGGAGAACTTCGACAATTGGGAAGCCAACATTAAAACATATGTGCACTTACAGAACGTTGCTCCAAACGAGCACATCCTGATAGCTATACACGCTCTTAGAGAGGAAGCAGCAAGCTTCGCCCATTCCCTGTGTCGTGCCGCTAACTACAACGATGATTTGGTTGCTTATTTTGCGTTCACTCCCCTCAGTGACTTCCTTAAGTTGTTGAGAGAGCGGTTTGCAGATGTGACCCGTAGTGTTAAAGCCTCGGATAAACTGCAAACCATACATTCTCGTCAGTGGAGGAGTGCCAGGGCACTCAAGGTTGTAATGGACGAGTTGGTCGCCGTTCCTGATCATGGGGCCACTGAGACCCAATTGATCTTTTACTTCGCTATGCCCGAGCAGTTACGCGGGCATTTCTTTGAAAAGAGCCAGCAACCTACCATAACCTACGATGCACTTAGCAGGGAAGTGGTAGCGTTCGAAGCACGGTCTGCGTCAGTTTCCACTTTCTGGCACAAGGACCTGGACAAGGGCAAAAAGTGGAAGGGTCGTACTATCTCAGGTCAAGTCAAGACCAAGGATCATTTGATCCTTACACTAGATGAGGGAGGTATGGACCAAGTCCCCTACGAGCAGATAGAGTGGGCACTAGAGGGAGAAGAGGACAGTAGCGCTAGCCAGGGGAGGACTTACGCTGCTGTCGCGGTCGGAGGGAGGCCGCAAGGGAGAGGTGGAGGCCAGGGCCAAGGGGGCCGGGCCTCAGGCGGCCGTTCAAAAGCGATCAAGGGGTTGGCGGTAGAGGAGGAAACCGCCAAGCGGGAGGAAGGGGTCAAGGTCCCCCGCAAAACTGTTCTGGTAACCGTTCACCTAATAGGAGAGGTGGTTGGCACCCAGGTCTGCCACAGGGCCGACCTTGGGAGGATTTGGGCCTGGACCAGCGCGTTTGGCAACAGCGTGTGGACCAGGGGCAGTGCATATTTTGCGGTGACCTTGGCCACATCATTAGATTTTGTCCAAAGTATAGAGAGGCTCGATGGGCTGCCGAGCAGTCAAAAGGCAGCCGCCGGTAGGGGTGGCAACTGCCCCTACCATAAGGCCATGTGGGGAAACGAGCGCGAGCCGGCAAGAAACTCCCACACCAGGCGTGGCCGATGAGCTGAAGGAGAGAATGCCCGCCTGGGCCAAGATGAAGAACGAGAGTAAAGGACAAACAATTTTAGTAGATGTAGAAGTTTTTAGAAGTAGAGTAGAAGCCCTTATAGATTTAGGGGCTACCCGCAGTTATATTAGCCGTAGAGCGCTAAAGAAGTTGAGGCTAGGGTTGAAAGTCCAGAAGTTAGAAGACCCCATAGTGAGTGTCCTCGCAGACAACCGCACTATGCGTGTTGAGGACTACGTAGAGGGAGTCCAGGCGTATTTTCCGCCTAGAGAAAGATGGGAAGGTGGAGAGAGTTCTCCATTCCCTGACTCTCCTCGTACAAGACGACCTTCCTTTTGATATAGTCCTGGGTATGGACTGGGGAGAGGCAACAGGGGCCACACTCCACCTGAAAGAGCATGAGTGTAGGCTCCCTAGTCCGCCAGGCAAGGTTAAGACTGCCCGTCTGTTCCATGCGTTAGGTGTAGACAATACCCTGGCACATTGCTGTCTCGGTGCTCCTGCGTTCGCTCGACTAGTGAAAAAGGAGAAATTAGAGGAGCAGGTCTTCGTCGCTTACGTAAGGCCTGTCACTGAGCCTAAGGAGGAGAAGCCCATTGGCCCAGCTATTGCCAAGCTGCTGGAAGAGTTCAAGGATTTAGCAAAGCCGCCGACAGGAGTAGTACCGCGACCATTCCAGCATCGGATTGAGATAGAGCCTGGCAGTAGGACTCCTAAAGGAGCAGTGTACAGGATGTCCCCACGGGTGTTGGAGGAGTTGCGCAAACAACTAGACGAGCTCCTAGAGAAGGGTTGGATTAGGCCCAGTTCATCTCCTTTTGGAGCACCAGTTTTGTTTGTCCCCAAGAAGGAGGGAGAGCTTAGAATGTCTATTGACTATAGGGGTCTCAATGCTATCACAGTGAAGAACACAGAGCCACTGCCCCGTATAGATGATCTTTTAGATTGGGTGCACGGATGCAAATATTTCTCGAAGATAGATTTGAAGTCCGGATATCATCAGATACATGTCCATCCTGATGATCAGTATAAGACCGCATTCCGGACTAGGTATGGGCACTACGAGTTTATAGTTATGCCCTTTGGACTAACCAACGCGCCAGCAACTTTTCAGCGTTGTATGAACGACTTGTTTAGGTTTTGGTTAGATAGATTCGTTGTAGTTTACTTAGATGACATTTTAGTTTTCAGTAAGACCCTCCAAGAGCACCAGGGTCATTTGAGACAGGTCTTGGAGAAGCTGAGAGAAGCTAACTTCAAGATCAACGCCAAGAAGTGCGAATGGGCGAAGACCCAAGTTTTGTATCTAGGCCACTTCTTAGACGGAGACGGCATCAAGCCAGAAGATAGCAAAATCGCAGCGATTCGAGATTGGCCTACACCCCACCCGTTGACAGAGTTGCGGTAGTTCCTAGGCCTAGCGAACTACTATAGGAAGTTTGTGAGAAACTTCTCCACCATTGTTGCACCCCTTCGCAGATTGCTGAAGAAAGAAACAATCTGGAAGTGGGATAAGGACTGCACATCTGCCATGAAAAAGTTAAAGCAGGCGTTGATAGAGTATCCAGTCCTTAAGGTCGCCGATCCGTCCTTACCTTTGTCGTTACCACTGACGCAAGCCAGTATGGTATAGGTGTTGTATTACAGCAAGGCGATGGCAATGGATATAGACCCGTAGAGTTCATGTCCTCTAGAATGCCCTAGCGACATCCACCTATGAAAGGGAAATCTACGCCCTCAGGCAAGCATTAGAGCACTGGAAGCATTACCTGGTTGGGAGGCACTTCAAAGTGTATTCAGACCACGAGACTCTCAGGTGGCTGAAAACACAGGCCAAAATGACACCTAAGTTGACTAGGTGGGCCGCGGAGATAGACCAGTACGACTTTGAGCTCAAGCCAGTTAAGGGCAAGTATAATGTAGTTGCAGATGCTCTAAGTAGGAGATCAGACTACCTTGGAGCGATAGTCCATTATCTGGATATAGGGAAAGACCTGCAACAGAAAGTTAGAGAGTCGTATGCGCAAGACCCTATCTACGGTGACCTTCTTAAGAAAGTAAAGGAGGCCCCAGAGACCGAGCCAGATTACCACACTACAAAGGGGTTGTTATTCGAGAAGACTAATGTAGTTGACCGATTATGCATTCCTAATAGTGAGGAGGTCCGTAGCCTGATCCTAGGGGAATGTCACGATACTGAGGGACATTTTGGTTGGCAAAAGACCTTAGCCAATTTGCGGTGCGCGTACACTTGACCAGGGATGAAAGAAGGACTGCATAGAGTATGTTCGCAGTTGCAAGGCATGCCAGAGGAATAAGACTACTACGCGTGCCCCTCTAGGTCTTCTCAGACCCCTGCCTATTCCTGACCAGCCCGGAGATTCAGTGTCCATTGATTTTACGGACGCCGGTGTCAAGAGTAGGCATGGTAAGAGCCAAGTCATGGTCATAGTCGATAGATTTAGTAAGTATGTTGTTTATATTCCATTACCTACAGAAGCTCGAACTAAGCTAGTGATTCAGAAGTTTTTTGATTTTTGGGTTAGTGAGCATGGAGTCCCATTGTCTATGGTTAGTGATAGAGACACCCGGTTTACAAGTTAGAACTGGCAGGAGTTAATGAAAGTATACGGCTCGAAGTTGTTGATGTCGTATGACCGCCATCCAAAGACTAATGGTCAGACTGAGCAGATGAACAAGATCCTGCAACAAGTTCTACGAATGTACATTACACCGGATCAGATCAACTGGGACGAGATGGTGCCCAAGGTAGCCAGTGCGTACTATAACAGCGTGCACTTGTCCACTTGTCGCACTCCCAACGAGCTGCACAAGTCCTTTAGACCGCGCAGACCGTTTGAGGGACTTAACCGGGATCAGATTCACAGGCTACCGCCCGGTGTTGGGAGAGAACCCGGGGAGGGGCTACCTACCGTTCGCTGAAGCCAAGGGCTACGGCGCCTGTCACTTCGCCGCGCCCGCTCCGAGGTCCTCGGCGACCAGTAGGGTGAAAGGGGGCAATCGAGTTCAAGGTTTGTCTAGCCCCRTCGGCACGCAGCGCTCTTCAGCAATAGGAGACAGTAAATAAGATTAAAGGAATAAGTAAAAAAACAATAAATAAATAAAAGAGTGACAAAATTAAAACTGGAACTCTCTCTCCCCCTTTGTCTGTCTGTCTCAGCCCCTGTTCTTCTCTCTCAGCGTCTGCCTGCTCTCTCTCTCTCTCGCCCTGCGTGAGCCTGCTCTTTCTCTCTCTCTCTCTCTCTCTCTCTCTCTTCCTGACTGAGCCTGCTCTTTCTCTCTCTCTCTCTTTCTCTCTCCCTTTCTCTCGTCTGTGTGTGTGTGTGTGTGTGTGTGTGTGTGTGTGAGTATGTCTATGTGTGTGAGTGTGAACGTGAGTGTGTGTGCGTGTCTTGCCCTCCGATGAGCACTTACCTGAGTTGGTTGCGACCTGCAGAGGTGGCACTGATGAGTAATGACCACATTAACTATCTGCAGGGGTAGCGTCGATTCACTGCTGACGAGCGCTGGACTCAAGGGTACTTTGAAACACTTTGTATTCGTATCTCTGATGTTGCGCTGACGAGCGCTGGACTTAAGGGAACTTTGGAACACTTAGTATTCATATCTCTGATGATGCGCTGTCGAGCGCTGGACTCAAGGGAACTTGAAAACGCTTTGTATTCATATCTCTGATGTTGCGCTGACGAGCGCTAGACTCAAGGGAACTTCGAAACACTTAGTATTCATATCTCTGATGATGCGCTGACGAACGCTGGACTCAAGGGAGCTTGGAGACACTTTGAATTCA